TGGTGTAGTGGAGAGCAGTGTTGGGCTGTATGTCCGTTACCCATCTAACAATTCCTCTTCAGACTCACGCAACACACGCAGTGACACCGAGTGCAGGAAGATCATGGGCCAGTGGGTGGGAAGCCAGTGGGTGGGTCCAGCAGTGGTGGACGCATCTGAGCACTGGCAGGGGGTCTCCATGTGATTCCTCCAGCTCCAGGGCTCTGGCTCCATCAGCCTCCATGTGGCTTGTCAACAGCAATGTCTGGCAGGAAGTGAGTGTGTGTCCTGCCTCCAGTGAACTAGTTATCTCCTTGGCGCCTCCAAATGAGGTCATCAAGCCGTGACCTGTTTGACAGGCTAACTTCCACCCCTTCACTCTTAAGTCTCACATTGACGACAGATGATGGACCTACCGCCGGCTGCTAACCACAAGGTCAGCAGTTTGAAATCACCAGCCACTCTGAGAGAGAGAGAGAGAGACAAGGGCTCTCTGCTCCTGTAAAGAGTGACCGTCCTCTGCCCTGTCCTCTAGGAGGGATCGCCGTGAGTCAGCATCTGCTGGACGGCAGGGAATGGTTTGGTTTGGTTTTTTGGTGGGGGCATGCTGTGGTTTTGAGCTGTTGCAGCTCCCCCTGGGGCCACGCCCTCCCTCTGTCCAGCCCAGAGAGGCCACACCTCCGGCGGAGGGATTCTGTGTAGCTGGGGGAGTCTCCTTGTAGCTTTCCCTGGAGGAAAACCTCCGCCCTGCTGTGGCCAGCCTGGCCTGGGTGCCCCCCTGCCCCAGCACTCGGACTCCAGAGAGAGGCTGGTTTGCACGCCGCCATCTCCGGGCGCGCTGTGGAGCTGTGTGGGAATGGACTTGGGGCCTTTTGAGTGACACAAACAGAAACGGAGCCATCGCATGCCTGCCCTCACCTGTTCCAGGTCCCGGGACCGTGGACAGCCAAGGGCAGATTGAGTTTCTCAGATGCTACGCCACACTGAAGACCAAGTCCCAGACCAAATTCTACCTTGAGTTCCACTCTAGCTGTCTGGAGAGTAAGTGTGGGGCGCGGGGCAGGCCCTTTGCCCCAGGCTCCCCCTCTGTGCAAGGGTCCCGGGGGCGGGGACCTCAACGGGCATCACAGCTGAAGGGCACGGCGTGGGGGGGAGCACACCCAGTTCATGTGAGGAGACTGTTGTCACTGTAGCCCTGGGGGACAGGGCCACTCCTGGGTCCGGTCCTGATCTGAAGGCCCCTGGGCACCAGGTGATCTGTAGGCGACTGGAACCTCTCCCTGGGCAGAGCTCAGATGTAGGAAGGTGAGAAAGTTCTGGAACAGACTAGGGTCTGGGCAGCGACTCCTGGCTCCGCATGCCCTGTCCCACCACCTCAGAGCCTCAGGAAGCAAGTGGCTGCTTGGCCTCTCGGCCACGGGCAGCTGCCACGCCCGCTGCGTCTGGGAAGCACCCTTTCCGGGTGGCACTTCAGACACAGCGTCTAACGCTGTTCTGCAATGAGAGGAGCTCAGTGTGGTTTCTGGTTCTCCTCCTGAGCGGGCCTGGGCTGGGGGTGGGGGACCAGCTCCAGCAAAGGAGGCATTTTATGAGGGGAAACTTCCAGAACTGACGAAGCCGGGTGCCACCCACCCCTGCCCGTCCCGCCAACGAAGCCTGGCGGCAGAGTGACCCTCTGCACGTGGACCCCCAGATCTGTCCCCCCAGGGCCGGGGTCAGAGCTGCTCAGAAACGCCTGGGGGGGGGGGGCGCTGTGTGGGCGTGTTTTTAATACACTCTCAGGGCATTTGCATACATTTCTATGGAAACGGCATATTGGGGAGCTTAAATTAGAATTTCAAAAGAGTGCCGCTGTGTTGAGTGGCGTGGGCAGAGTTGTCATCTTCCCCTGTCCTTTCCCCTGGGAGCCACAGTTTCTTTGTCCCCCAGGGCTTGTGACACAGAGGAGCCAGAAGTGGGGGGGACCTCTCCCATTTCCCTAAAAATAATGAGAGCGTACGGTTCAGGGGACCCTCAGCGGAAGCACAGTCCCCTGGGTGACTTGTGGAGGGGGTGCCTACCCTGGTCTGACCCGGGGTCTCGACTTGTCCCCAACAGGCTTTGTCAAGAGCCAGGAGGGGGAAAACGAAGAGGGGAGCGAAGGGGAGCTGGTGGTGAAGTTCGAGGAGACCCTTCCAAAGGTAATTAATTTACTAGGGGGCCCGGGAGCCCCGCAGGCAAAATGCTCATGGCCACCCGGGAAAGTGCATATGGTTACTTAGCTTGCTTGGTGGACTGCCAAGCTGGAGTCCAACCCCCGCCCCCCAAGATGCTGCTGAAGAAAGGCCTGGCGCCCCACTTCTGAAGAGCCAGCCCCCAAAACTCTCGGAGCACAGTCCACTCTGGCCCATGGGAGTCGGCATCAATGGGACGCCTCACCTCGCACGAAGGTGTCTGATGCCAGACTGGACATTCTGGAAGGCCCTGCGGGCCCTGGCAGCCCCCGTTGTGTCTGGGCGCATTCCTGGTGCCGAGAGGAGCAAGCTGGAGCTCCTCGGCTTGTCCCCCACCAACATCCCACCTTGCTCTCCAACCCACCTGATCATGACCCACATCCCACAACCCCACCCACCTGTGTCACCTGGCGACCTCCTGGGTCAGCCCCTCCCAGGAGCTCTGTTCAGCTCACCTCCGCCTGCTCCCCACCGCTATCTTGGGGAGGTCAGGACTCTCTCCTGGCACCTGGGCCAGGCTGCGCCTTGAATCAGTCATTTCTGAGATAGGAAAAGGGGTCAAACAACAGAGCGGAAATCAGAGGGACCTACTGCCACCTAGCAAGGAGACCCAGGAGCAGAGCTTGGCCTTGGTGCCCCCCCATCCCTGCGCCGAGAACATCGTAGAACATAGCCCCCAAACTTAGCTACCATCCCTTTTTCAGAGGGGAAAAAAATTACCCAGTGCCCCCTCTTGACCATTAAAATTTGAACAGACGCTTTTGCACTGTTCCCCCTCCCTCCCCTCCCACCATCATTCCACTGCCCCTCAGGGGATGGTATAGCCCACTTTGGGTCACACTGACCTAGACCCGTGGGAAAATGGGTGCCAAGGCACATGGCGCCCTGGACCCCTGGGTGTTGAAGGGGGATAAGGACCTTCCCCTGGAGCTGACAGAGAAAGCTGCCCAGTAGGCAGTGCCCTGAAGTTAAACTTCCTGCCTCCTAGGCTTTGGGACAATGAGCTTGTTCCCCAACGTCACTCCCTTACAGTCTCCCTGTCACGGCAGCACTAGATGTCTAAGACACCCTGGACCCCCGGGGAGCGCCCACTGTGACTTCTCGGCATTTGTTCTGGAGCTTTCTGAACTGGACTATGGAGAGTCTATCCTGCCGGTCACCATGCGGCCCAGGGAAAGAGCACAAGGGGTCCCGGAAGTGGGAGGGAGCGAAGGGGGCATCCCAGAGCATCGTGGGGTGCTGCTGTGGCAGGGATACCACGGGGGTTAAAAAACAGAGATCATTGTCTCACAGATCCGGAGGCTAGCCATCTGGATCGAGGGGGGCGGCTCTCGGAGGGGGCTCTCTTTCTCAGAGGCTCTGGAGGACACTCCCGGCCTCTCTAAGCTTTTGCTGGAGGGATAACTTTTGCTGTCTCTGCAACGTTCCTTCTACTTCAAAAGAGACTGCTGCACCGCACCCACCGGGAATCCTGCCTCTGTCAACATGTCCACGTGGCAGACGGCCCACTCCCAACTGGGGTCACAGCCCCGGGCCTGGAAGTTGGGGTTTACAGCATGTACTTTGGAGGAGGCCCTGTTCCCTCTGTCACCAGCCCTAAATTATGAAATAGTGTGAGCTGTGGCCGGCGTGTCGGCACCAGTGTGTCGGGGTGCAGCTTGCCTGGCCAGCCCCCCTGCACCTGCAGACACAGCCCTGATCTGCCCCAGCGCCCAAACCTGGCGGGCTGCCCGAGATGATCCCAGCGGGAGTCAGGGTGGCCCCGAATCCAAGAAGCCGCTGTTACTGAATTACACCTCCCACCCACCTGGACACCAGGCCAAACCAGGAGGGTGTGCAGGAGAGGGAGCGCAGGACCCCGTTCCTTCCACGTTGGGGAGCAGTCAGCGTGGGGGGTGAGGGAAAGCCTGTGCCTGTGTTGTGAAGGGAGTGGGGTGCAGGACACCACGCCGTGCTCCTTAAGAGTCACCCAGACCTGGTCCTGTAACACCCCGCCTAACTGGATATCCAAGGATGGGGAGGGAGGCACAGGGACAGATTGGGGCTCGGGCCATCCACTAGGATCTGGGTTCCCAGAAGCCAACCAAGGAAGCCTAGAGTACGCTGTGGTGGTAGAGGCCAGGAAGAAGTCTGGCCTCACCTTGCTGGGCAGGTGTACATAGGGGTGGGGCCCTTCAAGTCAGGGGAATGAGAATCCTTCTGTCTCAAGCATTCATCCACCTGCCCTGAAACCTGTCAACTCTGTCCCTGTCCTTCGCAGCTGAAGCCCATCATCTCGGACCCCGAGTACCTGCTGGACCAGCACATCTTGATCAGCATCAAGTCCTCAGACAGTGATGAGTCCTATGGTAATGGCCGCGACAGGGGGCCCACGGGTGCCTCCTGCCCCTCTGGTGCGAGGGAGACCGTGACAGCTCCTTTCTGAGGAACGTCACCTGCCAAGTTGACACAGCATAACCGTCACCCTGTTGTCACCTTTCCTGGCAGGTGAGGGCTGCATTGCCCTGAGGTTAGAGGCCACGGAGACCCAGTTCCCTATCCACACGCCTCTCACCCACCACGGAGAGATGACAGGACACTTCCGGGGGGAGATTAAGCTGCAGACATCCCAGGGCAAGATGAGAGAGAAACTTTACGGTAAGACTGCCTCTCCGCCCAGCGGGTCCAGGAGGGAGTTTCTCTTAGCAATACCACCAGATAGCCTCTCTACTGGGGCCTAAGGATGGACTCCCAAGGTTGGAAAGCTCAAGTTGAGCTTGGTGGTATAGTGGGTGACACATTGGGCCGCTAACCTCAAGGTCAAAACTACCGGCTGCTCCGAGGGAGAGAGGGGAGACCCCCTACTCCCGGAAGGCTCAGCCTCGGAACCCACAGGGGCAGTTCTACCTTGGCCTGTAGGGGTCGCTGTGAGTCGGGATTGACGCCATGGCAGTGGGTTGGGTTGGGTTTTAAGTACCACTTGCTTTCTGAGGTCAGCAGTTGGGAGAGCCATTTATTGGGACTCTCAGAAAAGGGCATCGCTGAAGTTGGGGACACGAACTCCCTGCAGGGGTTTCCTTGGCCCCGGGCAAAGGGCCAGCCTCGGAGGTCATTCCTGCCTGCCCCAAAGGCGACCCTGCTGATTCTCATAGACTGTTTCAGGCGTCCCATCTTCTCAGGCAAGAACGGTCACCACTCGGTTAAGAGAACATTGGAATGTGACCCAGAGGCCTTATTGACAGTCCGGACTTGACAAGCAAGCATCAGTCAGGATCTGGATTTAGAGGGCCCTCTTCATCCTTAACTTTCCACCTAAAATTGTGCAGCCTGGGAATAGCGTGTATTCTGCTCCATCGCATGGCCATACATAAGCCGTGCCATCCCAGCCAGGATGGCTCACCTCGGGCCCGGGGTCCGTTGCCGGGAGACACACAGCTTTGCTACACCACACCTTCGGAGATCAAGCTTTCTCCGTTACTGCCGTACATGCAGAC